CTCTTTTACCCCTCCCCCCTCTCCCCCCCTTCTCCCCCCCCCCCCTTTTTTTTTTTTTCCCAATCTTTTTAAACCCCCCCCCCCCCCCCCGCTCTCCCCCCCCGCTCTTCTTAACCCTTTTTGGTTTTTTTACTTCTTTTTTTTCTCCCTTTTTTATTTTCCCGTTTTTTTATCGTCTCTTTTTTTCCCCTCTCCCTTTTTTTACCCTTCCCCTTTTTTTTCCCCTTTTTTTCCCCCCTTTATTTTCTTTTTTTTCCCCCCCTTTTTTTTTCTCCTTTTTCGTTTTCTCTCTACTTTCCCCTTCTCTTCATGCTGCGGGGGTTTTTTTGGAGTTTGAGTGTTTGGTGTGGAGGGCTTGTCCTAACTTATTTATTGTTTCTTTCCTTGGTTACTCTTTTCTATGGAGGAGGGTTAATGCACTGTTTGTTTTAGTGGTACCCACAGTTTTTTATTTTCAAAGTTAGAGAGGAAGAGGACAGAGGTTTAGTTTCCTGGAGTTTTGAACGGTGAGGTGTGAGCGATGGCTTTGCAGCCTAGCACGGAGGAGACGCTGTCATTACGGCATGGATTCAGGTGTGTTCCCGAGAATGGAATTAAGGTGGAGGAGGTTCTGCTCGCGGTCGGCGAACAGGTAGGAGCTGAATTTATACATTCCGCATCCAGAATGAACAAAGCTGTGGATGTGTTCATGAAAAGAGCAAATTTGTTGGTGCCAATTTCTCCTCTTTCTACCCCTTCGACCAGGGTGGTAGTTGCAAATTTGCCTCCGTTTATTACGGATGATCAAATCAGGAAGGAGTTGAGTCGTTTTGGTAAGTTTGCTAGTGGTTTTCGTGTACTGTCGGCAGGTTCAGGCAGATGCTGTCAAGCACGTTGTTTCATTCCGGAGGCAAGTGTTCATGTTTCTGAACAACAATGAGCAACAGTTAAATGTGCACTTTAAAGTGAGGCATGGGGAGGGGCTCTACGCAGGTTTTGCCAGCACAGATAGTCTACGGTGCTTTGAGTGTGGGGATTTGGGGCATAAGAGCTTTGCATGCCCACATAAAGGCCGTAGACAAGGTTAGGGTTCAAGCACCAGTGGGGGAAATCGAGGTCAACGTGCAGGGGGCCATGAGACACAGGCAGCAGAGGCTGGGCCTACATTTTACATTTTAGTCATTTAGCAGACGCTCTTATCCAGAGCGACTTACAGTTAGTGAGTGCATACATACAGATCGTAGTGTAGCTAAGGCTGGGCCTAGTCATGCTACAGATGGTGGGGTAGATGAGGCTGGGTCTAGTCATGCTATAGATGGTGGTGTAGGTGAGGCTGGGTCTAGTCATGCTATAGATGGTGGTGTAGATGAGACTGGGTCTAGTCATGTCATGGATGGTGGTGTAGATGAGGCTGGGCCTAGTCAGGTTAT